ACTTCTTTTACGATCAAAGGGGATGTGTAATGTGAGAGGTGCTTTAGAGTTCATTAGATCAACGGTAACATTCTGCATATTTGTTTATGTATTTTGCAATGGTTTTTATCATATTTTGTTTACATATTTTTTCTCTCGATAGATTCGGTCACAGGACAAAACTATCTCGTTTCGCGAACCTACAGACAATGTTTTGATGAGTCTGACTCAAGATGAAAAGTTTATATCATGTTTAAAGCAAACATGCTTACTTAATAATTCTCAATACAAAGATGTCGAAAGATGTATGGGTGGTCTCTATCACACTGCATCAAAAAACTTGCACGGTCACGACAAGGATATTGAAATTGATGCGCGGGACTGGAGTGCGAATGAAGTATTAGCATTAGGTGTTCTTTTTCGTTATTATAATATTTCGTACTATTATTATAATGACAAGGGGGATTTAGCTGAATACCCTTACAAGTTAGTTGAATGCCCTTAGAATAGTTCCGATAAGAGATCTTTTTATAATATTAGAAAATTTTTTATGATTTCTTTTTTAAAGAATATGCTATTTAAGAATGGGATCTACTTTTCGATTTCTATTTTGCTATAATTTTAAATTTAAACGTGATAAATAAATGTAACACAAAACTCCGGGCGAACGATGATGTGATAGCAAACTGGTTATCAAGCCATGGCACTGCGTCGACACATATTTCTGTGGTCTGTGCCTCCTTAAATGACGCGAAAGCACAATCTTCGTCATTCGAATGATTTGCATTTCTCCTTCCTCGAATCACTTAAATGCGTCAAATATATTTTTTTGCCCATATAGCCCAGCGACGGAAATCGGCCTGACGACAAAAATTGGCCACTGTCGTCATGTGGTCTGACGACAAAAGTTGGCCCGTCGTCATATGAGTGGAAATAAGTGGAAATAACATAATTATGTTATTTCCACTTAAAACTTAAAATATATATATATAACTTATTAACAATTTTTTTTTAGATTTTAACAATATTTAAGTCTTAATTAAAATTTTTGTTTCAATAAAAAAAGTTTTTTAAATATTATTTATATTTTAAAAGCAATAATAGATAAAATATAATTTTAAAAATATAATTATACGTATATACTATATAATAATGATTATATATTAAAAGAAATTTATTGCCATTGAACAAAACTTTTAAAAATATATATACAAATAAATATAAGCTTTATTTTATTAATTTTGAAATAAAAAAATTTTTTAAGTATTATTTTTATATTATTTTTTTAATTATCTATTTTAACTCATTAATCTATTAATCTATTTAATTAATTATTTCATTAAAAAAACTAAGCTATATTTTTAAAT